CATTTACTGTGATTCAATGCCTCCGATTGAGATTTACTGTGAATGAGTGACTGGCCACTCAAGATTTATTGTGACTCGATGTATGTCCAATTGGGTTTCACTGTGAAAATTTACCTGACCAGTTGTGACTCACTGTGAAGCCAAAAAGTCAAATGTAATAAAGTGTCTGCCTATTGTGATTTACTGTGATTCATTGCCTCTCCAATTGAAATTTACTGTGAATGGGTGTCTGTCCGATTGAGATTTACTGTGAATGAGTGACCGTCCGATTGAGATTTACTGTGAATGAGTGACAGTCCATTTGAGATTTACTGTGAAGCAACATAGGTAAGTGGAATACAGTGACTGCCTATCGTGATTTACTGTGATTCAATACCTCTCCGATTGAGATTTACTGTGAATGAGTGACCGTCCGTTTGAGATTTACTGTGAATGAGTGACCGTCCGTTTGAGATTTACTGTGAAGCAACATAGGCAAGTGTGATACAATGACTGCCTATTGTGATTTACTGTGCCTGATGTCTGACCATTCAAAATTTACTGTGATTCAGTGTCTGTCCGATTGTGAATAATTGTGAGTTTGCCTGCCCAGTTGTGAATAAATGTGAACCATGTACAATGCCCGGTTGTGATTTAGTGTGTCGGTCTACAAGGCTCAAAAACCGGCCAGCCAAATCCCATTCACATTAAATCACAACTGGGCTAGAAAGAGTCTTACCCCCTGGTCATAAGAGAATTAATTATGTAAATCAACCCAAAATTAATTATGTCTGTAAATTGTTGATTATTATGCAAATTAGGTAATTTATATGCAAGAATTTTCACCCCAAACTTGTACGGTCTACGTACAACTTTTTAGTGAAATGCATCGATTATGTCTTTAGATATCGGTGGAACAGACATATATACATACATACACACACACAGACAGGAACATTGCAAAGACTCCCATTGTGTGCATACATACACTATATATTACAAAATCAGTCATTGCATGTCACAGAAATGATGTCAGATGGACAGATGGTTGAAACCCAAAACATAAGTTAGCGTTCCAGAAAATGTCTGGAGGAGACTAAAAAAACAGCAATTGTATTTGTGGTCACATGACATGAACCTTTATAAGAACAAATAAAAATGTTTCTATTAATTATGTTATTGATGGTTTACTATTTGGCTAATACTGTAAAATACTTAATATTTTCGCTTGGAATTAATTTTTGCTATTTTCGCTGAAGGCGTGATTCAGTGAAAATAAAATCCAGCGAATATACCTATTTTCCTATATTTTACATTCACCAAACTCACCAAAAATCAGTGAAAATAAATTCTATACAAAATACCCAAAAAGTCTTTTCAGCAAAAATTAATTCCAGTAAAAATAAATTATTTCACAGTAGTACTTTTTAGATAACCAGCATCTCAATTGCAGAAATGCCTTGGCATACCTTCATTGTCCAAATATCCAACAATCTGAATGTCATTTTAAAACATTCACATGAATAAATCTTATCACATTTCGTTTTCATTTAATGGCATTATGATAACTTTGTAGCAATAACTATACTCACATTAACAAAGTAGGGTTTGTTTCCCATTTTTCTGATTTCTTGTAAGTTTCGGAGTTGCTGCTTGACAAGTGTAGCTTCAAACATAACCAGCATGACTAGAGTAAACACGCTGTAGTACCAATACTCATCAAGACACCATAGACCAACACAGAATACTTGGAAAACAAAGAATGGAGCTGTAGCTCTCTCTTTAAATAACTCAGAAAACTCTGGTATTTCCATGACAACACTGTGAGTAAAAAACACAGGACAATGAACCTTAGAGTAATGATGTTGTCTCTACATTAAGATCTTTAACCAATGAAAACATTTAAATTACATTTTCACCGGGTCAGAAGTAACTTAAGACTTCCCAGATTTGAGGTTATGAAGGTAGTTCAGCAATTAAAACAAAGAACATTGGTAATGTCTTACAGACATTTGAGCCTCTATAATATACAACATTCAATATCATCATTACGAGCAACGTCAAAATCAGAATACCAAATTTATTGAGATCATTACTGCTCCATGTTTGAAATTCAAATTGCTGTACATTTACATGTAAATGTACAATTAAATGTACTGTGAAACCAAGCTTTTAACCTGTCACCTGTCTACTTGTCATTTTAGACAAGCAAAATTTCTATAAACCTGACCAATTTCAATTGAAAAGTCACCATTATGTACAGTGAAAATTTGTCTGGGTCCTAGGAATATCGGTCATTTTTTCAAAATATTGTCTTCATGACTGGCATAAAATCCTGACATTGTGTGAATTAAATGGTTTACAAACCTATTACTTCCATATTGCTTAACTGCTTTAAAAATTTCCATTTCATCTTTATATCCTTTCCAGCCCTGATAAAATTCCATGGAGTGATCCACTGGAAACTTAACCGCCAAGAATTGTTTTTTTTCTTCTGCATCATAGATATATTTGGTTTTTTGAAAATTAAACCATATGTCAACGGTTGGTTTCTCTTCATTCTGCAGTTAGAAAAATTTAAACATATGTAAATCTTCTTCTACAGATCAATGGGCACAATGGAAGAAGTTAATACAAGTTGATTTTTCATATTCAAATCACTGTAAAATTTTGAAAATTGTTATATTACTTCCAATACACATAATGTTCGAACACCAGTGCTGCATGTTAGTGAGCAAATCTAGTATAGTCATTGCTAGTCAGTTACCAATGTTGTTTTCAGACAAGCATTCGATGCCCGTTTTAAAAATTTGAACAACATAATGCAAGTACTTCCTATCAGCAGAGTCACGGAAGATATGCTTATTTTGAGGTGAACAGTTTATAATGTCATATTTGTGTTTTTGTTATACAATACAAGAAGCCTCTAAGCCGAGATAGCTCTGCTGTTAGCAATGCATATTTCAATCAGAGAATTAAAGATATAGGCTGTAGTACATGTATACATGTAATATCAAATCAATAAGACATGCAGCTTTTAACAAGAAGCTGAAAAATATAACTTTTTACCAAAAATGACAAAAATATTCATCAAAAATATAGAATTGAAGATATCATCACCAAATGAACAAATCTGAGAGAGGTCCATCTGAGGAACTTATTTGTATAATATCAAAGCAATCAAATTTGGTGTTTTCAACAAGAAGTCAAAAATATCACTTCTCTTCAATTCACCACTGAGGGCAAGATTTTGGTTCATGTCAAGCGTTCAGGCACAAAATCAGTTGTGAACCACACTCCCTGTCAGCACCCTGTCAGAGATAGATTTTTTTTGGCATGTGCCGACTCTGTCCAAGCTTTTTACACACACATTTCAACATTTACAACTCAACCATGACTCTCGGCATGAGCTGAGATCTGCAACATGAACGCCACCAATATATCAGTCTCAATCACATGATGTAATTATAAGAATGGTACTGTAAATGTACTGTAAAACACTATAAATTTATACATTATGACAGTACAGTGTTTGTATCTATGACAACCCAAGCCATCTGAGTGCATATTCTCAAGATTACCCTTGTAGTAATAATGTAACAGTAGATAACAACTCAAAATAAGGAAAATGTGTTTTAGAACATGTTGGTGTGAATTTTTAGTTAATACTTTTTTTTTTCACTGAGATAATAATTTTTATTATTTGACCACCCTTTCATCACCTCATTTTGGTTTGATGTACACTGAATCATACCATTAACAGTGAATAGGTAAGAATGTCTTGAAAACTTACCTCTTCATGGTGAAGTTCAGCCACTAAGGGAAATCCATTATTTTCAGTTGGCACAATCTTCACCAATGATGCTTGATAAGGATCCTTCGCCTATAACAAATCAAATAATACCGCTAAGTCCACTACTATCAAATTATGTTAATTACCGGTACACTCAAGAAGATCGTATCTGAAGGATACAAATAATAAACTCACATATATAAAATGATAATTTATTTGATTTATCTTTGACGTATGAATTATTATGCTATATAAACCAAATGCAACAATTATGCTTTTTGTCAGATATCCTGGTCAGAAGTTGTTTGCAAAAACCTGAAATGACCAATAACTTTCATAAATTTGGTTGGGTTTTCAGAATTTCCGGGTATCATCAAGAATACTGAAGGGGACGTGGAATTTGTCTGATTCACACATCGCCAGAAATTAGTGGACAAGATGGCCGACTTCTGCCCTGGCCAGTGTTCCCCAGTTAAATAAACATCACAGAATGTGCCATAGAGAATGCATTGCATTAACATTTAATTTTGAGTTTATATTTTTCATTTTTGTGTGCTTAGTAATAGACAGGTGACATTCCAAGCTTCCGATATGTTATAGATGTTTCCATTAAAACTCTACCATTAAATGCCTAACTTTCCTTAAAACCTGATGATAAATTCTACACTGGCCCAGTGTATTACCAATAGATGATGTGTACTTGTGTGCCAGACTCTATTTTTAAAAATAGGTAAATGCAGTAACGCAGGTGACTGTTCAAGTTTGTTTGCTTCGTTCTGGATACTCTCTGGTTCAATGAACACAGCGACGCAGCTGACGCAGTTGTGGACTCAGTATTCGCTGCCCAAATTAGAGTTGAAATTCATGCATTTTTTTACACAGATGTACTATCCAGTTGTTAGCAAATATAACTGTTTTAATCCAATTAACAACAGGAAGTAACCTGAATCAGGATTTATTTTATGTTCGCTATTCCATGTTAAATCACCCCACTTTTCAAAAGCCAACCGTTTAGTCAAAACCAAAGCAGTTAGCCAATTCGCTAGCGAGTTTGCAAATTGGCTGCCCCAATACTTCTGAGACTTGTTGTAACATAGCAATAGACTCTCAATTAGGCTAAACAATAGACCTTTAAAGTCTATGACATCATCCGTTGTCTTGAATAATTTTGCACATAATTATAGTCACTGCAATGGGATAGACAGGAAATCCCTACTTGACCAGATTCTATTGCCATTTCTGGCAATGATACATGTGCTTAAGGTAGAAATGCAGTTTACCTGACAGGTATTTTAATTAGTTAATTAGGAAACCAAGATGACCTCCTTTGTCCACAAAACTATATATTTTCGAAAAGCTCATTGTATGAATTTTAAAAATTTTTTTAGTATTTTTTTTTATGGACACTGTAGTTTGAAATATGGACAAAAATGTGCTTTTTTGGTCAAATGTGATTTTAAAAAAATTAGCTCCTAAACCATGCTTCTGTTTGTTGGTACATCTGTTTACTATGAACAAAGCGCTGTCTTGAAAACTGTCTACCAGTTGTCAATTTTGTAGGGCAGCAGCCCAAATTTCACTACTCCAAGTTTATGCATAAATTAACACCCGGGCTAGTTGTCTGTACGATTGTTGTAACACTGTTCAACCAAAAACAATGCCCCGACGGAGTTTTGAAGATAAACACATTGTCAATCATTTGTGAAAATTTCAAAACAAAAGGTCAAAGCGTCTAGGAGCTATTTTTTTATAGTTCTGCGATGTGCCCCAAAAAGAAGCTGAGATAATTGCTAATTTGCATAACAATTCACTCAGTAAGAAATTTGCTAATGCTCATAATTAAGATGGCTGTAACAGTTCCAAATTTAAATGTATTATGTTTTGTTAAAAGTTAAATATAGTGTATAATATGTACAGCCTTGCTAAATCTTGCTAAGCATTCAAAAGAGAGAATGTTTGCACCTGTTATCTATATTTTAAAATCGTTTTTTGAGTATGTTCCACTATTCACAATTCCAAGACTGTTTGGATAATAAAAAGCAAAAACAAAAAATTTTACTCCCAAGTGCCCACAAACATGCATCTCTACCTTAAGGCCCCTTTCTTCTGAGCTCTGTTGCCACTACTGCTTCCAAATGAACTTTGAACATAAAAAATCTGTTTTTCGTAGATTTGATACATGTAGGCTGGATTTACAGCAAGTCTAAGAAGTATAGGGGCAGCCAATTTGCAAACTCGCTAGCGAATTGGCTGCTTTGGTTTTGACTGAAAGTTGGCTTTGGAATCTCACTGGCGCCGTCCTGTGGTCACGCCCACTTTGAACGAAAAAAAGTATATTTATAGTCAGAGGTACAAATTTGTCCCGAAATAAGACATTGTACTAATGAACGTACACCATTGGCGACAAAACATAAACAAAAATTATAGTAGGTCAATACATGTACATCTAACTATCCCAAATACTTTACTGAAGGCGAAATTACAGAAGGACTCCGCTCGGGACTATGGTTTGTAAACACAAGTTTTGTTTTGAATTTGGAAAACTTCCCCCGGCAGAGCTCCAGAAGGAGTACCTACACTTTATGCAATTTTTTTTTAAATTATGCTAATTTATTCATGACGTAGCAGTTTCTGTGCTCATGAATATTCATTAATTTGTGGGTCAATACATTTTAAAAGGGGCGATATATTATTTTTGGGGGAAGAGTTAGAAAGGGGGATTAGCAATCCTTAGGGGGTCAATACAAAAGAAGGGACCCATTTGGAGAGCAGCCATGCTCCTCGTGTCTGTTGTTGCACGTGACCTACAGCTGTCAACTGTGTTCGTTCTTCGACTGTGTTCGTTCTTCGACGACTTCGACTGGCTTCCATGTGGGGTAGTATTCTTGTGTTCTGTTTGACTTGAGTTTTTGAATCCGCTGTTTATGTTTTTAACGTCTTTCATGTCTTTTGTAGGAGTGTCCAATCCGTGATTCGAACTTGCGATCTTTGAGTTCCCAGCGCACTGTCTTGTCCTCTGTACCACGAGTGTCTTCACACAGGAGTTAGGATTTAAGTCCTATTCATAGGAGCACCGTCTTCACTAGCATTCAAAATCTACTAAACATACTG